AAATGAGAATTAAATTCTTTAAAATATAGTTCACCTGCTCTGCTCCTCTTTCCGGTTTTACTACCAGCTATGTATTGGCACATCGACTAAAATAAATTCAGCGAAGTAGGCATAGCCAATATAAAAGTACATTAGAAATGACATAGATAAAATAGTATGTAGAATTTAACGCTTACGTTGTAATCTCTAACAAGATTCTGAAATCTATTATTACATTGTTGTCCTGTATAGGTCGTCCCAAATCGTTGGTTGATTGTTTTTGCTATGCTATTCCAAAAGTCTACCCTGCTACTGCCAGGAATGTTGTGGTACTCGGTATTTTTGGTTTTTCTTTCATCGATTAGTAAGCGTAATTGACCATCGGTCCACATCACAGCGGAGCTGGCACGGCCAAAAATTTAGACGATCCTAATTTCAACGAATGTTCAACTGCGATATGATATTTCCATTATGTTAGACGTTCGTTGTTAGACGTTAATCTGACCAGTGACACGCTTTTCGCGAAGCAAAGTAGTATTATCAACAGCCGGAAGTCAGTCGTACCGGTAGGGATTCAGCAAATTTCGTGGAGCGAGTGTATTTTCTCTCGCATGGCCTGCTGTCATGTCGTGGAAAGAGTGTGACAATCTCATCGCAAATACATGCAATGAGATAAACACTGCCACAATCATACTAAATAATGATGATTCTATGACAGTGGCCCCTGAGATGATCGGTCAACCTGAAGAAATAGTAATGGTTGAGACAGCACATGGCAAGTCAGTGTGTCGTGAAAGGGTTTCTACTGTCAAATTGGGACCATTCCTGTGAGTACGCTATATAGTGATAGCGATGATGCAATGACATTTTATAAGTGATATCAGCAATTCGATTTCCAGTCCGATGTCAACATTGGCGGCGAGAGTAGTCCAGTATTTCGTCAGCAATGAAGACGATGATCCAATATACGATTGAAATGGTAACGAGTGTGACAATGGTGAGATGGAAACGAGTGAGAGTGGATGGGCAAGAGTGTGAAAGCGAAGTAGTGATGTAGAGAGCGAGAGTGGAGGAAGAGATGGGAAGTGATCGCGAACATGGTGAAGAGATGTTGGTGGCAAATCAGCATTGCGCCCGACTGTTTTCGATATAAACCTGATTTGGCTTTTGATAAATGAAAATGCGTGAGGAAGGCGAAAAGAAAGTTTGAAATGAGAAATACTATAAATCTGTTCATTTGAGGAAACAGATTTTGTATTGTGCTTTCAGTTTACAAAGGAATACATTTGACAACATTGCGAGAACTGAACTCGAATGTCTTTCCGCGAGCTTTAGCAGAGACTCTAGATATTCTTTTTTATATCAACCGTTCATTGACTCTGCTTCAATATTATACGTAATTCGTGGCAAATTCTCCAGCCTGTAATGCAGTAGATAATATTTGGACGTTTGTGTGCAAAGATGGTGAAACAGAAATGTAAACCACATAGTAATAGGAAAAGGAAATTAAGAATAGACATAATAAAAATATCGATAAGCGAATTGAGTTTCCGGGGTTTATTATATAAGTGTTCTCTTATTACCTGCGTGAAGTATTGTCCGTATTTAAATGGTTGTTAACAATACTATTTGCACAATTCGTTCTTGATAAATGTTACGAGATGAATCGTAGTTTTCAAACACAAATGCCTCTCGATATGAGAACCCTTCGATATACGAAATATGACCTATAAGAAAATTTTTGCTGGATCCGATTTAACATCTCGTAAGAATTTTTGATGCAAGAAAAAGAGAGTTCAGTTGAACATTGATAACAAGAAATCTGTGAATTTAAATTACGCAAATAAAATTTTCACTTTGTTCTCTCAAGTTTGATTACGAGATTAGATGATTATCCTTTTAGTAATGATATTTATCTGATAAAATGGCGTGTCAAAATACACTATGTAACTTTATTAAACTCCGCGCGTAATACAGTGATTCAAAGACGCGAAAGTATGACAGTAAACTTAGATTTACAATTTTAAAAAACTTTCCTTGTAATAACCCTATTTTTACGTCTATTTATCCATGGTTTGCGTTTTTTCGGCATTGAGAATGGATTGATCGACCAGATTAGACGTAGACAACGCATATCTTGAACAGTGCGCAATGTTGATAGACTTACCAGGAGACGGTATTATTATTCACTACAAACTTTACGACGATGACTCGCACTATTGACACGGAAAATATGTTGGAAGCTACCTATTTGTATAGGGGGATAATGGGTTGGTAATCAAACCGTTCTATACTTACTAACTGACGGTACAATAACAGTAAAGGCAAAGAGCAATACACATTACGGACTGTGCTCAAATAAAATATATAATATTAGTATACGATGGAATTATTACTGATGTTGAGAAACCAGGTCATTAACAACGTATGTATCCGATCGTCTGACGCATAATTTGAGTCTTTAATCAGTGGTAGAAAGCTCTTTATGAAAATAACGCGCAAGCTGATGATGAAGTAATAAATGAATATTGTAATAGTAAGCAGAATGACAGCGTTTTCCTTGTTCTTCATAATTACATTACAATATTCTGTAGTAAACAACTCAAGGTCAGACAGTTTATTCATGGAACCGCCGTTGATTTCGAAAAATCACGAGACTACAAGGTGTTACAACACATTCTGTTACGTTAGCCAATTACAACGGAATATGACGCTCATTATATCTCATCCACGCTCGATGGTCTTAAAGAAAATGGATCGATAGAATCCATTCAGGACGAAATCTGATTCCAGCAAAGGCAGACAAAGTATACAATCAATGGCCTTTGGATATGAATCGATGGTGAGCAAAAAGGTGAAAACAGAAAATACAGGAGTGCTCTTGGAACAATTAGATCAATTGGTTCCCGAAGGGAAAGCATCATTAGAGTGGAACAATGAATGGGGTAAGCGTATGAGTTTTTATGTTAGGACGGAGTATATTAGGATATACGTGTAAATGATATACGATAAACCTGTGTAGAAAGACGAATACAAGATTGCTTCTATATTTACTGAGGATGATATACATAAAAAATTTTTCAGTATTGACAACGTAACCACGTGCACTATTACTTAGGTAAATGGTAAAGTTGTTATTACATAAATACCATGTCACGAATATCAATAACTATGATATTACAGAATCTCCCGTATTCGCAAGCAACGATCTTCGAACGAATCGCCACAAGGGTATTTAACTGCAGCTGTATAATTCAGTCAAATTCATTCAAACCTTTCAATGGCGATTAAATAGAACCAATTCAATGTATCAAGCAATTAAGGCTGTCGCTCCTGCAGACAAAGCATCAACGCTCGATCTAGACGACGACTTTACGCGAATAATGAATCGTAATATGTTTACTGACGAATGGAAAAACTAATTATAGAGGAAACTGCTGATGATTTCAGTAAACTAAAATTTGAAGGTAAAATCTTAATACAAATTTGCTTTGCAATATTAATATACTGTATTTATCACTCAACAGCTCTTATTTAATAGTTCCTAACTTGCCTAGTCCCAACCGTTTCCGTACATACCAAATGCTCTTGTGGACCTAATCTCTTCGACCACTTTTACGTAATTGTCACCAACTTTCTGGATTCTTAACAAAACAAATGGTCTAGAACTGGAATTATCTTGGAATCCAATAAAAGGCGCTACTGGTTCTGAATATCGCGAATTGTAGGAGATGAATATGAAGAGAAATTGATCACATGGATGAGATGTGTATAGGCTGTGAATACGAAGAATTGCTACCTAACGAACTTGTGCCTGATGAAAATGAGGCAGAGACCATATTAACTTCAGAAAGAGAGGATGGCAACCACGGATATTCACACAACTATGATAGCCGCCAAACTCTGCATGGTCGACTGTACTAAGCAGTTACTTGTTCTAGTATTACGGACAGCGCCTCATCGTTCCTTTCAAGCTTGAGATTAATTGCATATCCAGAGATTAAAGTGACTTCATTAATAAGGTGAATACTTTCAGTCATTGAACAATATTTCCCAGACGATCTAGCTCTCTGAAGACTTATATTCTATAAAGCATTGATTAAAATCAAACGACAGTATTTTCACAGCTTTTTAATAGAAGATTCGAATAAACCGACATCACATTTCATTCAAGAGGCAGAGTCACTGGAATTGTTAAAAATGGAAAGATTATATTACAGAACGGAACGGTTAGTCTTGACATCAGCATATAATAGCGGGTCTTACCTGCAAATGAATCTCCTGTAGGAAAGACCTTGCTAGAGTATTTACTCTTCTTCTCCAAAGGCGACAAGGGTTGTACATCATTGTAATATATGTCATCCCATATAATTTCGCAATAATCGTCACTGTCTAAGATATTAGCAATCCGCGAAGAAAGATCACCCCCTGGACGTTTGTTAGGGTCGACCTCACAACATACCTTGGCAAGATTCTTATACGCTTCTGGTGCTGATTCAGGCATCGCAGGTCGCAGTCCCCCCAGAATATCACAAAGTAAATTTCTATCGAATTCTCTATCCCTAAAAGGCGGTTCACCACTGGCAATCAAACACACAATAATGCCAAAAGCATATATATCTGATTTCTGAGTGAATTTGCGAGTACAAAAGACTTCCGGTGCGATAAAAGGTAAGACGCCTTTCGTAGCCGAATGAGACTCTGACGTTTCTGATTGAGAGAGACCAAGATCACATATGAACGGTCGACTTATATTAAAGTCACCATATCTTGCATTAGATGTACTGTCATCCAAAACGATGTTTCCAGCATGGAGATCACAATGTACCAATCCTGCAGAATGGATAACCAGCAGACTGTCTGCAATATCCCTCAAGCACTGTAGTTTCATCCTCCATGTCAACTTGTTGATATTTCGATTCAAATAAGATAAAAGATTCCCTTCACTGGCATATTGCATTACAAGCATATACTCTCTTGATATTGGCCGTTGTGTGACTCCATAAATCTCAAGGAAATTAGCATTATAACATTTAGCATGATTCCTAAACTTTAGATTTGGAAAGCAACGATTAGTCAATATTACTAAATATACAAAGTCAATAACATCGGGAGATTGCTTACTTCCGAAATGAATAATTCCGGTGTCTGATTAAAATTCCTATAGCCTTTGAGAACAACACACTTATTCAAACTATTACATGTTGTTTTATAAACTGTTCCGTAGCCGCCAGATCCAATCTCTTCAATATCAGCAAAATCAGTAAACTGTATAAATGTTAAGGTCTTTTCGGTCATATAACTATACTTCTTTTCTGCAGTCCAATTAGTTTGTATAACTCTGTCCATTATGGTATGTATCTCACTGTAAAATACCAAATAATAGTCTTGAGTGGATGGCTCTTGTGTGATACCGATAATCCAGATATTGTCTGGTGTTAATATCTCTGGGTGGTCTGTAGTTAGCTGCTTGAGCATACAATACAATAGTCATAACAACCATCAGTTAAATACGCGGCTTGCATTTTGAAACACATGATAATATGATTATTTAAGCAGTTTTACCTGATGAAAGTCAAATGATTGAACATTCTGTCCATCAAATATCTTCTTGAGTAACACTTTTATCCATTTATCTGTTGTTGGTTCTATACAATAAGCTATATGTGTGCATTCGTGGTCTAAAGACGCTGTCTCTTGTATGTTTGTCAATTGAGAATACTCTATCCATTGTACATAACTATCATAAATAGTTTTTGTATTTTTCCATGATTTCTTTATAATCGAATCCAGAGAATTGTTGCCAGTAGACCAATAAACAGGTCTTGGCGTTTTACATTCGAAACAGAATGCAGGGATACTACGCACTAAACGTGCTGTACATGCCAGACATAATCCACTCTCCTTTTCTTCTTTAATCAGATAATAAGTTTGATCTTTCGCGTCATATGTAAATCCAATATTAATCCAAATATCTGTGAAGAGAATATCCGGATGCTCATCGGATAACTGATGGGCAATACATATTATATATATTAATTAAACAGTCAATAAACATGACCAATATGTCGATATTGAATTATTTACCTTTTCATAATATGAATAGTCCGTCTCATTTGTTATCTCGCATGGAATCAATTTTATATTACAACGAGCCGGCAGACCATTTAAGCTTTTAATATATTCGTCAGCCTCAATGTGATCGAATGGAATCCACTCCAAATAGGCTTCATCTACTGAGTTTGCTTGTGTTTGCGATTCTTTAATAAATTCATCGAGTTCCTCATTTTTGCTAGTCCACGCATTGGACAATTCTTTATGTCCACAAATACACCACACGGGACTGCATCTAAGTATTCCACATCCAGAGCAGAATCCATATAGGGAATAACAATGGTGAAAATGTTTATTAGCAACCATATAATAGTTATCTTCATACTCTGTAAATCCTTGTATCATCATATTGCGCTTCAAAAGCCATTTAGAATATCTTCTGAACTGATGAGGGGGATTGACGTCTACACATGTCGGAAGTGAGTATTTTCTGGCAAATTCATTCATAAAGGCTGGTGTACAATCTTCATTGCTTCCAAGTAATAACAGCATCTTCTCACCATACCATGTCTGTGCATAGTGGATAGTTTGGTCAAAGCTTGACTCTATTACTATGTTAATCAACTCTGAGTCGATCCAATGAAGTCTATGATTCTCATAATCGTCATAAAAGGACGATCGAATCAAGTCGTCAATTGCCTGACGTCCAGACATTTCGTCCTGACCTGATTAGTTGTTAGATAATTTAAAATACTGATGATGAACCTTGTGCCACATTACACTATATAACATAATGGAGGGATTAATAACATGTTTGGTAAAACGAGCAGGATGAGAATGCGGGTAGAGTAATAAGGATAGCGAAAACGATGTTATTTGATATCAACAAGTGCCTTTATTATTACTAATCGTAAGATTCGTTACAGTCCAGATTTGAAGGTCATTACGCAGATATCATACTAAAAAGTTTAGTAAAACTGTAAGTATTGAAGATACAAAAACAACAAAATACGTCATATAAGAATACGTCGCATTTATATTCCAGGTGATAGTTAATATTGCTTACCTCGACAACCACATTTATAACATTAACGTTATATAGAACTAGTTATAAGATTTAATGGAATGCACTAACAATTGTGCAAGTATTATTACCCTTAAATCTATTCGGTGCAGGTGCGTTAATAATGAAGCAGATTTGTGTGCATTGTGTAGTCGTGTATCGCACGTTAGTGTGGAGGCCGGAATGTTCGCTCTTAATTTTTTCGCTGTTATGTGGTCGATTGCGCTTTGAAGGAGGGGAGGAGAAGCGAACATATGTGGTCGATAAACCATGTTGTTACAGGGCCTGTTCGTGAGTTGTATCGCACTAACGACAAAGGTCTGTTGTGTCGTGTCGTATGTGCGTAATATGATGGGGTGGCGACAAATACTGTATGTATTATTATCTAGTAATAACAAAGAAATATGAGTACTGCGTCATCATAATTGACCATTGAAGAACGTTCACAGCAGGCCGGCAGGCAGTCTGTCTACCGTACGCGCTGTGGCCACAAAGCGCTTTCAATTCGAATGGCCAACGAACAAGTCGATTGTTAATGAACGATTCGATCTTCCAAACCAACCAGCCTCACCATTGGGTGGCCAATTAAACAAACTGACCCCCAATTAAAGCCTCTGGCAGTGTGCTGGCTTCTTGGCACAGGAACAGAAACTGCCCGCAAATACGACTTAGACTGCCCAAAAATTGAACCATTTGAAGAACGTTCACAACCGTACAAGTCAGGCCGTTTGCCTGCTGACAGCAGTGGCCCGAAGCGCTTTCAATTCAAATGGACAAGGAAGGAAGTCGAACTTCCAAACCAACCAGCACCGGTACTGGCATTTTGGCACAGTAACAGCAACTTGCTCGTCCCCCCGACTTAGCCTGCCCAACAATACGACATGGCTCGATCAATCTTCGTTCAGTTACTTAACAACCACTCAGCAAATACTCAGTGAGACTCTCACCTCAATCTATGAGCCCAAAATCCTCTTTGTGGTCATTGTACCTGGCAGTTTACCGTCATGCCAAGGATAAGTATAATCTTCATTGTTTATCTCCTATAAGTTGGGGAAAACGTGAGTAAACTGCATCATCAGAATCACGGACAAATGAAGGTCGTGATGTCAAGCAGCAACCACCCATCCAGATGTCATGCTTGTTCGATGACTTCGCATCAACGTCCCATGTACCTATTCACCACAGCTGCCTGTGCACACAGTGAGCATCAGATGACCCTTTGGAGCGGATAATCAAACGTTCACACAAGTAATCATTTAACGATCAGGTCCCCAACTACTTTTCATGTATATCCTATTCACCACAAAAGCTCACGCTTTTTTGTTGGTAACGGTTTTCGATTAATTTGCACTCCGCATGCTTTCGAAAACTACGATTTACACCTAGTGGCAGCATCCCTTCAGATACACACTACTAAGCACCCTCACGAAAAACAATTACAAGTGTGGCCACAGAGAGCTTTCAAGATTATCCGGCTTTTATACCTAGTGGCAGCGTACCTTCGGATACAGACCCTCAACAAATTTACCCAGTAAGAATTCTTACCTTGAAAACGAACGTGCGACAAAGGTCTGTTGCATTTGTTATGTCGTCGATAAACCGTATTGTTGTTCAAAACGAGTTGTAGCAAAGTGCTATATGTATGAGTAGACGCGTTAGACATTATTCCAATGATATTATTAATATGTAAAGTACAATCTTATTAACGTACCTTAAGAGTATGTATTTACTGAGCAAATGGATGCTTGTTAGCCGCTATTAACGACTTGGTCGTTTCATAACGTTGCCCGAATCACGTTCACACATCAAACCCTCATCCGTAAGTATGAGGGGCGGCATATTAAAGTTTTAATGATGCGCTTCTGTCTACCACTTAGTAAACGTCAACCCCCATTTGCGTTGAGGTGCCACATATCAAGGCGGCAGTTTTCCGTCATGCCGAGGACAGAGTTTGATAGATAGTACACGAAAAAAAATTTTTTTTCTACACTGATAGACCAGTTTTTGTTATATGTGCGCTTAATTTTTGCTTTACTGTTATAAACGTTGCCCCCCCCCTCTATTTCTTCCCTCCCCACTTACCATACATTAGTTTGCCGCAACAGAAACGTTGGTTTGATTATAGTGATGGGTTTGGCTTCGACAACCAGTTTTCGTTGAGGAAAAAATCTTGTTGCCAAAAAAAATTTTACGTTTGAGAAGACGCGACAGTTCCTGTGGACACGCAGGTATATGCTTCTTTTTGAAAGTTATCACCGTTCGCTAACGTGGCTGTTTAACGTTATAGTGACTTTGTTTGATAATAGTTTTGGCTTCGGCAACCAGTCGTCGTTGTCTTGTCCGCGAAAAAGTTTGTATTTGAGAAGATGACGCGACGGCTCACCGAATGTAGCCAGTATTTATCCCCCCCCTTTTTTTTTCTCCCATTCTCATTTGTCCTTTTTGGGTCATTGTCTTACATTATTGCATAATCAAAATTTGCTCTTATTATTGTTACTTCCCACTTCCATTGTCTAATTTTAGCAACTTGCCCCTAAACGTATGACTTGTAGTCCTTCGCGGAGCTCTTAAAATTATCAGCCTTGTTTGTCTATTACTGTATAAACGCATTAATATTTTTTATTAGAAGCGTTATTGTATAAAGACGTTTACAATCATAAGACTTGGTGACAAAACGATAACAAATTAAACAAAATAAAGGGAAAAATTGTTTATTATAACGCCCAATAGTCTATTGAAATACCAGCTGTGGCATCAAGCACAAATAGAGTCTCACTACGGTTAAATAACTTATATTATTATCCCTGGCTTTTGTCTCTATCCTTTAATAGAATATAATGCGATCGATGATTGGTCAATCGTTTTACAATAGTTACCTAATCAGATTGCCTCGCACAGACAAGACGGATCATATTATCGTCATTTGGAAATAAAACCGTATTAATATTAATATCGTATATGATTATATTTAGCACATCTCTGCATAGTTTGGCAATAAAGTCATACTCGATAGTGTGTATATCAATATCTTGATTAGCACTAACTATTCACAACTCTAGTACGTATAAAGTTGCTAAATTTAAATGCATATAATGATCTATTATCGGCAGTATAACTATAGATAAATAAACATTCAAGACAAAACTGCTTTCAGTGTCGTCTTTTCATTAAAAACTCGTGGCATTCATGACTTAGTATCAATGTACAACGATAAACCACCTAAATTTAAAGCCACCGTACTACCGACCAAAAATAGTACAGTCAGACCTCTCTAAATGCAACCTCTCTTAATGCAACTTTTCTCTAAATGCACAGCAATTGCTTGGTCCCATGATGTGACTTAAGAGATAAGTGCACATTCTATGTTCTGCAATTGCAAGCTTTCTTTCGGCCCTACCATCTGGCAAGGAGACATATATATCACCCCATATATTACTACCCTCATCCTTATTAATGATTGCCATGTCACTATGAGAAATGTCTATGCCTCACAAAAAAACAATTCTGGCATACTTTCCCTCCATTACCCTCTCAGCCAGCAATCATTGCAGGGGACTTCAACTAAGACTTCAACACCATCCTCTACCAACATGATCACATCTCCTCAACCTCCCACTTCAACACACACCACACGGGGAGTGACTCAGACCACAGAGCACTAATCCTCCAGGCCCAAACCAAACAAAAAGCCAATATCTGGCAAATGAACATGTCCATGCACACTAACCCAGTTACAACAAACTGGAACAAAATATTCAAGCTGCTCTACTGACCCTCTCAACATCCTCTTGGGATCATGTTGCTGATTTATGATATTAACATCATCAATCGTCTTATAATTTAGAGACTCAAAGTTTGGAATAACTTGCAATTCACAGTTCATTCATTCTTCAACGGGCTGCCAAGTTATTTACAAGTTATTTTTCTGTGCGATATGTACAGTATGTTATTAAAGATTCAAAATAAATTTTTGAAAATAATTACTAATATTGCCAGACTTACAAAGATGACTGTTACATAATCCCATCCATATTCTTAAGTAGTGACGCAGACTGCATGTTAATTGTTAGATATTCTAATAATATTACAGTCAACCCTGTGCATTTATCCCGTCTATAATATATAGTCACCGTTTAGTATGTTGCCAAATTGGTACGTTATGATCGGAAACAGCTTTGCATGCCCTGAGACAGAGATTTCGTATAAGACACCACTTTTATGTGACCATTCGAGGCAGGAAGTCTTTCTGTACTTGTAAATTTACTTGGAATTAGACACATATTTTATTATGTATTTAACGGCCAATGGTGAACCACCTACCTAGCGATAACCGAAATTAATGGACGCCTGAATCAAGGGAATGTAAGAACCCGTTGATATGTGATGTCGAGATGTGATGCTGACAACGTAAACACTTCTTGTTGTTGGCAGAAATGACCATTCTGACAACAGTGTATGGGATACCATCTATTACAACGATGTAAAACCCTCATCACGTATCGGCAATGAGTATTTTCGACTTGTGGTTATTATTATCGCTGATATTATTTGATCATCGTATTCTTTTAGCAAAAATTCTGTCGCCGCCGCAGAAGCCAACATCTACAATGGCTAATAACGCGAGTTTTTCGCCAAGGGCTTGTCACCATTTTCATCATGCCGAATACAGGTTGCAATAAAATAAACATCACACAGGTTACTGCCATTTATTGCATTTAGAGATTGGAAGCTGATGCTTAATTAATATTGCCATTTTTTCCCTGCTCTATGAATCCGCCATTGGCAATAGTCAGCCTATTTGACGTATGGCCGCGGACTCATGTGTGGCCGTGAATAAGTGTGAGGGGATGATGCATCGCATGTTGTCGCAGTAACTAACGTGTTCACCATGTGCAAATGCGAGTTCAGTAGAATCGAGAAGATATGACCGGGTGACCCGAAAGTAAGCATGTTCACGGAATAGTTACAGTATCTGAATTGATAATATCTGCCGATGCTCGAACAATTTTTGCTGTCACTACTAGCCTTGTCCTGCTATCACTTCCATCATTGTCTCAGATGTCAATTCTCGTTTTTTCGAATATCCCAGTCGTTTGTAGCAAGTATCTGCGTATATCTTGGTTGAGGAACTAATAAGTGAGAAATTAAATCATCTCTTGCTCAAGTATCTAAAGCCTCGCCTTGGAGTGTAAGGTGGCAATGCGGATGAGACAGAAACAAAAAAGTGGGCATGGGGTATTTTTGGATTGGAGAAAAACAGTACAGAGCGGGAAACGTAATGCGTCGGAAAGACCCTTCCAATTCATCAACTGGACCGTGTTCTGACGATACCTTTAATTTTGTATTAGTTTGATTGCCGAGCAAATATCGTTACTAAATATTAATTGGTGATTATAAAAACTAACCTCTTGTCTATCCTTTGTATTGACACTTGTATAAAATTTATATACTTCCTATAGGCATGCCATAATCTATCTTTTGTCCACTCTCGATACAAAACTTGAAATTCCGCGGCGCTTCAAATACTAATACTATCGTAGAGCCGAAACAGAACCCTCCTATTTCGCCACCTTTCCTAAACGGCAGTCCTTGTAGAAGTTTACTTGCATTCTTATATGATACTTCGACGTATGAGCCGATATTTACATCTTCCTTTTTATTTGTACGCAACGCCTACCAACGGAGAAAGATATCAATACGGGAAAAAGTATGTATACTCTGTAGGAACGACAAAGGGCATAATTCGATTGCCTTACCGGGTCAAAGTTTATTTTTATTGAACCAACATTTGTTGCACCGACCGCAACCATTGAGAAAAATCCATATCGCCAACGGCCTAATAATGCGACGCGTTCATTTAACACAAAGAGGTCGGGAAGAATCTTTGCCATGTATGGAGAAACGGAATACAACTCTCCTATAAAATATAATAGTGAATAAGATTCCCATAGTAAAAATCAAATATGCTATTGATCAAAGTTCTTACCAGCAAAGTGCCTTCTTTTTTCAACAACCCAATTGGCCGGTGAATGAAATCGATGATAATCTCCAGGCGCCAAGTAAAAAACACAGAAGAACAAACTATTTGTCTCTGAAGATTTCGCCGTTACTGCCGTTAGTGCCGTTACAAGCTCATTTTTTTTATCTGCAATATGCTCCTTAGCGCTATTCTTATCTTCACCAATAAGATCTTCCAAGGAATACGTTATTCCATTTAATGTAGCAAATTCCTTCTCATCAGTTATTGTTATCGGTGTCAAAAATGACGAGAGAGCCTCTGATGGACTAGTAGGAGAAGAATTGTTCCCGAGGAGTGCGTCAAGCAGATATGTCGAGCCCTTTACTTGAGATATACGGCCATCTATGATCTGGCCAAATGCTAATACTCTTCCGTCAGATGGAGATACCTGTAGAAGACAATAGCAAGTAAAATAAACTTCGTAAGCAAAATAACCAATATTTGGTTGCCGTTCTCAAATACAAAAATTCTCTTACCACGTCGCTCTTCTCACCAATAACTCGTACTCCAGGTTTCAGTTCTCGATAAAAAAAGGCGCCCAGATTACGATAGCTCTTCAAATCATCCTTAATCTCGTCCATATTACATCCAAATATCCACGCATACAATTTATAAACTGGTTCTCTCATAAAAACAGGAAGATCGTAGTCATTGTTTAGTCGGCCCAATAAACGTGATATCGCCCGTAACGGAAGAGCGTTTGCTACGTGTACCTAATAATGTGATGTACGCAGTTATGGCAATATGCCATAAAAGAGAGTATATACAAAGTTTTGAATAAGAAAACAAACTATAAATCTCCCGCGACAATTGTGTGAAATCATGACGTTGCCGTAAGCTCTCCGATAAATCATATTTTCTAGTGAATACCTGCCATGCCCCGCGTACAACTGGTCGCGGAGGATCTCTTTCTGTTTGTTGTCGATTGTAAGCATGTCGTATTTGTTGCGCTACAAGTAATGCAACACCAAGACTCACAGGTATTGGGTACCATTTGATTTCCGTTTTTTTCAATGAATCTCGTAGTCGGCCTTATTGATGACGTGAAAGAACGTCTTATCAGCATGCATGAATCAATAATAACACAAGAAAAAAACATGGACTGACAAAGCCACTAATATAAGTAGTTTTATTTAATACAATTGTTGTCTGTTCGCAAAAGCCCAATACTCACTGAAAAACGGTCTCGGCTTCTCCTTTTTGGACCCGCTGTGAAAATGTCGATTTGTAATGGCGGGGCACCCGCGAGCAGCAGCGTAGATTCCGTTGAAAGCTTTCACATTTTTATGACATGCTGTATAAGTAATATTATTGTAGAAAGAATAATATCGCATCATTAACGATAAATCTGCTCCAAAGAAGAAAAAGTGTCACTCCACGTGCAATTAATCGATCTAAGATGTTACCAAAATAGTTAACGGCACATCAAAAAATTCCGGTCCTAAACCTGGGGGTACAGTACGTATGAATTACTGGATTATATCAATATAAATTAAGTCACTTGACTGATTCCACATTCTCATGGAATCAATTGTTCATAACCCACAGCTCATTTCTCACTCTGCTTAGCATCATACCCCACCTTACTATCATTTTAACTCTCAAGCATTGATTCGCTCACTTTGCATAAACATAGCAGCCGATTTGGTTGATAATTGTACAAACATGCATGTAATCTGCTAGTACAAAGACACAATTCTTATGCTTCTTTATATGTCTTATTGCTTGTTTCAATTACATATTCAATTTTCTCTCCCACCAACTTTTGCTTCTTCAGCAGTTGAAAAAATGTAAGTGGAGTGCTGATCCACTTTAATACTTATCAATGAAACACTCAGCATTAAAAATCCAAACTATTCACAATTTATTAAAGGTATTTATATGTCATTTACAATGTTCATACTTTTCTTTTTTAAAGATTATTTCACATTGATTCCTTTCTTTATCTGTGCCATACGACTTCTCAGATTCTTATACGGGTCAGGACCTTTCTTCCTGGAAGGTACCCCCTGCAAAGATGCAAAAGAGACACTTCCACAGACACCATTTGTTGATGACATTTCTCCATCCTTCGGTTGATAGTATACAATCTTCTTGTCCCTATAATTGAGGCTCTTGCCAAATATTGGGGCACTCCATTTAGCAACCAACTTGGCTGCTCGCTTAGTTATATCCACATCATTGCGAGGATGTTCCTCATAAAAGTGTACTATTCTACCAATCCCCGATTGACGCAAAAGCTGAATTGTCATGGGAATCTAGTAGCCATAATCAAAGGCGTGTATAAGAAATAAAGAGCGTCAACGGCGCCTCTCAATTGTGTATCCATTAACAGTCTTGATATTTGTTACCTTTTCGAGAACTTCAAACAGACTCTTCTGAACAGCGATATTAGGAAGAGATGCATCGGGCAAGGGTTCCAGCCATGCTCTTATCGACTCCAATATATTATGCTCTAGTAACGTATCTAGCATATTCGCCTTCTTTAGGGTCCACGCTACGTGCTCTATAAACTCGAGCTTTTTGACTGCGGGCTTTCGTTCATTGTTCAGTGCAATGTCAAGATCGGCCGCAGATATCATTAGAGAGTATAATTGTTGAGCTTCGTCGTCTCGATTGGTCTCCAGGTCCTAGACAAATGATTGATATTTTAGCTTTGAAATAAAGTGTGGATATATCTCGATGCATGAAAGATAGTATGACGAGTTTAAAGTACATACAATGTCTTTACGTTTCTTACGTCTACCCGAAGCCGCCCTTAGTGCTTCGTCAAAGTCCTTGTCCACACGTCGTTTAATTTCTTCAATTTCGATGATGGTATTGCATAGAGTTAATGTCGTTTCAAATTGCAAGAAGCCAAGCATCCATCCCAAACATTAATGTAAAAACAATCTACCGTCATACGATGATAGCTTTTGATCGTTCTGTACGTCCGTAAGAACGTCACTATTCTCAACCACTTCGCCTCCCTTTCGACGACGCCTCCTTGACTTTGCAGGTCGCCGTTCCACGTAGTCCTTATCCTTATCTTCTTCGGAAAGCCGTTTGGGCTTTGACCACTTAAGCCGCAATTTTTTTGGCGGCTCTTTTGACTGTGTCCCCGGTTTGAGAGTGATTTTTGGGGGCTGTGATATAGTATTTTCGATGTCTGGTGAAGATACGCTCGCACATCAGATTATTATATTGAAGATATGAACGAGAGTGTGATAACTAGTGACTCACCGTCGTCACTAAAGTGGACTTCTCCTAAATCGGATAAATCATCATCGTCACTTTCACCGAAAACCTGTTTGTGAAGTTCAGACTGTTCGAGTGTCATTGTGTATGGTTGTGTTGAAAGACGCGTTAAGTGTTTTCTTTTTTTCAAATCAAGGATGTGGCGAATATGATCGTGTCTGATTTTTCTTGCCAAAATCGTATGTCCAGTTGCACAAGATAAATTAAATCTTCAGCCAATCATAGCGGCATCTGCATTTATCGTGTGATCTGCACATAAAATTGATACGATCCAAAGTCACGTTTTGTTCGACAGACCAATAAAATTATGAAATTTCACTATGTATAGCGACTATTACATCATGTCGGGTAATCGACGATGTGATTAAACTTACTAACAGCACATTCTTTTAATCCCTTGTCGTAGGCATCCACATATCCCCATGATAGCCGTAGGTACACTAACGAGAACTTCAGGAACCTGTCTCGATAAGTCGGCATAACTATAGCTACAAATGAAACCAATCATGAAAGACAAAACAAATCAATCGGTTATACTGAAACATTATTATAAGCGAAACTGATGAAGCTGAAACATTATTGTAAGCGAAACCATAGTGCCGGCCCGAATGTAACAAACTCCACTATTAGAATCTATGTCACATGACGTATTTACGCGTTTTGTTTCAAAATTTGGAGTTATGCTTGTTTCAAATTCGGGTCAATCATATAGAAAGCAACCAAGTTTAAATGCTTACAACACTTTTAAATTTTGACCGGTAACTTAATCGACCTCATCATGAAGAACAATATTACCGGTCAATTTTTAAAAATATGATTTTTTTAGAGCTAAAGGGTTTTAAAGTCATGCCATTTTATTGTCGAGTTATGCTTTCCCGCACCATATTAATATGGCATAAAAACGAGTGTTAATATCAACATAAAAAATTTATTGCTTTTATTGGTGAGATGTCAAAAGTTTATAGCTCACTCGGTTAAGCAATTGAGGAACATCAACGAGACGTTAAACTTTTTGTCATAAAACTCTGTTAGCTTGTTTGCAAGCGATTCAATAGTACAAACAATTTATTCGAATGAATGACTTGTGTTTGTTGTGGTAGTTATTCACTTAACACATCAAAGAGTCTACATACCACCATATTGCCCAGGTAATGATTCAAGTTGTGCGGTAGGGAATTTTCTCTTACAAGATGTTCGACCGCTACTTCCACAATCAATTAATTGAGTAATTCACTGAACAGGAGGTTAACTCCGATATCAATCGGATAATTTACAATTGCCTGTTTTTTCATTCACCGTCGTGCTGCTTGCTGTAAGAAACAATGACTTTGCACATTTTGATGATTTATATGTAAACTTGAATATCTTTTTTTTTTCAGCAAAATTGCATAACACAGACTTTTCATGAGTAAGAATTTGAATATTTATTGCAGAAATAATCATTTTCTAAATGATAAAAATGAAGTAAAACGTCAATAAATTGCGATATTTTTTAACGGTAAACGTTTTGTCGTTCTCGCATTTGTATGACTAAACACTTTCATTGTCAACATGTAACTTCTCATTAGCAATGATAATATGATTATTTTACATAAAAAGAGCCTTTATACAGTACTTAATTCTGGTAGAGCAATAAATTTCAAGGGGTGAGATGACCAAAACAGTTACTAGTACTCTCATCTGTTAACGCGTTCTCCGCATACATGATGTCCCAACTTAAGCTAATTCAAATTTATTTACAAAGCAAAATCATTTACTACCTTCAAATGTTAAGAGTTGTCTTTGCATCAATAACTGAATGTAGATTATGCAGGCTTCTTTACCGTATCGATATCTTCAATCATGTCTGTCAAAAGGATAGTAAACAAATACATAAGTGAGAGAACGTCTTTAGAATTATTGAGTTTACAATTCTACTACTAATTTTGACTTGCGAAAAAACTTATCCTGGAATTCTAATATCTCACGGAATCTCTTCAGTTTTACAATCACATTTGTTTTCACTCATTCTCATTGCCCTTTCATCCAATTTAAAACATTATGTAAGACTGGTTATGCATATGTAGATTGTTAAGGTCGCGCTTTTCACGTGCTTGTAATACTGGACCATTTACATATTCAGCTTTTTGTTACACAGCTTAATACATAATATACTAGTCTCCCAGACTTCTTTACGACTTATCATTTCGTGCAGCGCTTATAACACTAAAAATCTCCCACATGGTATAGTATCTGTCTGCTCCATCAGCAACCATTTCGCTTTGGCTCCCGAGATTCTTCACGATCCGCGCATTCTCGAAGTTTTACTAATCGATCATGTCGTTTATTGACTCTAGATAAGGTTTATTCTAGTCCAGAACAGACAGGGCAAAACTCGTCTTTCAAAATGGTATGTGCCCTACGAAGACGAGGAAAAGATAAAGTTAAAAGGTGAAGTGCATCGCTTGGTTGCACCGAGAGATCAGAAGCATCAGTCAAACTTTGTCGAGGTGAGTAATGACGAGTGTTTTGGTGATTGGCAAGGGGATGTCAAGGAGAATAGATGTTGGTTATCGGCAAGGGGATGGCGCTGCTGTCAAGGAGAATAAGACGTTAGTCATTGAGTATGTATAAAACGTCGTCTTTTTTTGTCTCTAGTTTCGTAACCACAAAATAGTATATCGTCGGTACGCTGGTCTGTTCTTTTGTGTGTGTGTCGATGCAAATGATAACGAATTGGCGTATTTGGAAGCAATACATTTCTTTGTCGAAGTGCTCGATGCATTCTTTGGAAATGTGTGTGAATTGGATTTGGTTTTTAATTTTTACAAGGTGAATAAGAATATAAACGAAAATGTTAATGTGTAATACCGAGAGAATGCTATATTGTTAGCAATGACCCTTTACTGATATCGTATTTATCTCATAGGTGTATGCTATTTTAGACGAAGTATTCTTGGCGGGTGAGATTGAAGAGACGAGTAAGAATCTCGTCTTGACAAGATTGGATCATCTGGACAAGCTAGAATAGAATATATATAATAGAGAATGGCTTGGCTAATTTATTAAAAGGAAAAAAGGAACTATTTTTAATCACGGACGGGTAAAAATTAATTGTTATATAACTGATCATATGCGTAAAGCAAACTCTAACTTAATATGAGATTGGGATTTGCCTATTTTTGTGGTCGATCAGTTATAGGCATTTGAGTCTGTGTTTGGGGAAACTCATGGGTTAAAAGTTTATTGCGCGTGCGCACATCTTCTCGCAGCCCAGGAACGATAGAGGGACATTCTACGTTATATAGATTGGATACCATCTGAAAGCTTCCTTACCCCCGGAACATCGAATAATAAAAGAGTGTTTCTATTTCATATAGATCGCAAACGGGAAACCAGTGATCCCAAATTGGAGCATGCGTTTTTTAATTTTTCATCTGACATAACATTTTCTCCCGCAGGGGGAAATTACACGATGTTAAATAGCAGGAGATGGGCAATGAAACCGTTATGTCCACCTTTGTAGACTGACTACCACGAAGGGGCTTGCACAAGTTTAGCGTTCGAGAATTGTTACTTGCTAGCAACTGTTACAGATTTCCCTCCCGAAACTAACTGTATGGCAAATATTACTTTATTAACCATACTTCTTATTCATCCTCCTCCACTTTCACTTCAATCTTTTTCTTCTTTTTCTTCTCACTCTTACTGGTATCATCATCAACCTCGGATTTTTTCTTTTTCTCCCTCTTCTCCCTCCTCTCTTTCTTGTCTTTTTCTCTCTTTTCCCTTCTCTCCTTTTTCTCCTTTCTCTCCTTCCTACGTTCCTTCTTTTTCTTCTCCTCTTCCTCATCATCACCACCCTCTTCCTCCTCCTCCTCCTCCTCCTCCTTCTTCTTTTCCTCCTCCTTTTCTTCATCTTCTGCAACAGATGATTTATCCTTTTTAATCCGTTTAGCGGCTCTCTTGGATGATTCAGCTTCTTCAGATACCGATGGTTCAGTTCGCTGAATTCCCCCAAAGAAAGCATAGATTAGATACTTATCGTTACATATTATTCTAAACTCAATATCATTCTTCGCACGCGGTCATTACCTTCAAAGGAGCGACGTGTTCAATGTTCATGTCCATGACTCCATGAGCCACCTCCTTTACACTCACATCCAAACTTGTAGATACAACACCTTCCATTGAAGCACTTGTAGAAGACTGGTCTGTTCGTTGGTAGTCAACGTAGTTCTCTTTCCACTGTAAAGGTGTTTTTTCAGTAACGCGTCCGTATTTGTCTAATCGACCATCCTTGATAAGCTGCTTTTTTTGCTGGGCTTTCGGACCCAAACCCCAGCGGCGAGGATAAGTGTCCCGTTCCATAATTACACGTTTTATTTTTGCCACTACGCCTGTTAAAGAAAAATAAAGATCGATAAGGACGTACTTTAAAAAAAGACTAGACATGAATGAGAATTCGCCTTACAAAACCTTCATTTTATGCTTACCGTGATCACAAGTGGCCATAACAGCCGTTGTCATTAGTGCAATTCCTAACGCTATTGCTTCTCCTTTCGTAGACATCAATACAACTTCTTCATTAACTTCAATGCCAGACTCATATCTGAGTAAACCCGGTATCATGAGTTTAGCCCCATAACATATTGCATTTACTGCACTATCTTTCACCACAATTCTCTTATACGTTGATAATAAAGTCTCTAGAGGTCGTATGACTCTGCGAAGATAGGATTCTGGTCAGGGAAGAGGAAAAAAAAAGTTTAAAATATATATGTATTAACGTGTGCATGTAGATATGGTGCTTGAAACATATGATTGGATGGAAGGCAAATATGATTTAAATCACATATTAATTCCTTGTACTCACCATCGCGTGTCTGATCATATAACCATTGTGCATCCAAAACATCATGCATTGTCACCAAGTATTCCTATAAAGCCGTCAATACAAGTAACAAAACACAAGTATCCGAATAAGTTAGAACAATCAAGTCTAAAATAGTCTATTAAATTCATTGTCTCTTCTCCCCTCGCCAATTACCTCTTCACTCATGGATCCACTTCTCACTCTCCTCAATTCCTCCATATGTCCACCAACACCCAACAACAATCCCAAATGCACACATAACGTACGGATGTACGTTCCAGCTTCACAAGAAACCCAGAAAACGCCGAGATTACGATCAGAATCAAATTCTATGAGCTTTGCTTCATGAATTGTACGAATGCGTAGTTGCCGTTTCACGGCGGAAATCAGTGGAGGTCGTTGGAAAAGTGCACCGGTTAGGGTTTCGAGAGTTTGGGAAAGTTTTTTTGCGGATTCAATCGCATTATGTAACCTGACAACACAGACGTATTCTTTGCCTAGAGAAAAAATCGCGAAAAATTTGAGGGCAAGTAGAGCAAAAATGTTAGAATAATTGAGCTTGGTGATACAAACCAAAGTTTTAAAAGTAGGATCAGTTTTCGATTCCAAGTAAATAAAAAAATTAAACTCTTTACTCGATTTCACGTCACTTTGTCTTCTGACATACCTGCTCCTTGCTGTGATTTGACCAGTCTCGTAGCACGATCAATACATACTATCAAACAACCAGTAACCTTTGGATCGAGTGTCCCACTATGACCAGTCTTTTCTACTCGAAGAATTCTACGTATCCATGCTACTACTTCATGTGATGATGGGTTGGCTGGTTTATCAAGATTTATTATTCCATATCTGTCAGACACAAAAAAAAATGTACGATTAAAAATGGTATACATCATTGAGCCTATATTGCAAAAATCCAATCGTACCTTATATATTCGCTTAGACTCCGTTTCAGTGGCGAGCATCCTTGAGGGATAGGCGTATAATGTGCCGTTCTCACATGCAATCTGTCAAAGTTCTAACAGAAATTGAAAAATCATTGTCAAAAATGAAGGCATAAACACGTTAACAAAAGTACGAGTAAAAGGTCTGTGCTTCACGACAGGCATTGTCTACTATAGGCGTAGTCGTGTACCGAAGACTAGACCAGTCGCCAGCGCGAGATTCAAAGAATTGCGAAAGTAACCACGTAAAGATTCGGTCATAGCCTTCCAAATAATAATAGTTTTTACCTTTAGTAATAAAGGCCACTCTGATGCGTCAAGTGACGGTACCCTTGATTCCGGTTTAATGAAGTAATCAACAGTTGGAACTGGCAGTCCTGCCATTGTAGAGGAATGATATCTTTCCAATCAGTATGTCAAAAGCTATCATGGCAAATTTATATAATTCACGAAATTTAAAATTTTTTCAAAATTAGCGTTACACACGAAATAAGCCAACAGTTTTGTAGTCCCGTGACTGAGAAATAGTAATTATAATACACTTTTTAGTTATTACTGATTCGCGCACAAGACTAGTCGATGCTATGTTTGTCCAATTTTACTTTCCTACATTCAATGTAGCGATGTATATGGATGTTAATTTAACCCAAATAAAATGAATCATGAACTAAAGTATCACAATTACTCGCCCCCGAGTAAATACACTAGTAACTTACAATCTTCCAATTGTCTACAGAAATTAAGACGAATATCATAAATAACTGTACGCGATTGTTGTCATAAGCTACCAGTTATCATCCTGTTCTTTCATATGTACACATCTGGCGATCCTGTGACTTTCGGTGATTTTTTGAGATCGGACGACCAATTACATTCAACCAACCGATGTGATGGTACAAACATCAATTTTTTTCGAGATGAACTAATCCGACACATTTCGACGAAATATGACGGAAACATCGACCCCCACCAAATCTGCTTGTCCTATAGATCATCGTTCTCGCTCTGGATTTTTTTCTTCATTCTCTCGACAAAACACTTCCTCCGATTCAAATCTCAATGCTCAAGGCTGTACGAGTGATACTCTCGACAAATCCTCGACACAAACACCCACCTCTTCCCAACGAATTTCGCTAGACAATCAACGTGATGTCTCTTCTATTCCACGCTGGTCTTCAACTCCGTCCGATTATTGGGTTTATCCCTCAGAACAACAATTCTTCAATGCTTTAAAACGTAAAAACCACGAGGCTAGTGAGACAGATATGCGATCCGTAGTACATATACATAATGCAGTCAATGAACGGGCCTGGAGCGAGGTTTTAAAATGGGAAAGGTTGCATGAAAGCACAAATAAATGTGCAGTGAAATTGAAGAGTTTTCGGGGAAGGCCTGGAGATTTGAGTTTTAAGGCGAGAATGTATGGATTACTAGGGTGAGTTTTTGTAAAATGTCTTGTTTGTTAGGATTAAGCAATGAAGATTCCAAACGACGAATGAGCATGTATGTAAACGGAAGTATTTCTAAATACCTTGTCTCGCTTATTTTTTTTATTCCTGTCCATAGATATACATATCCCTTTGATAGACATGATTGGATAATCGATAGATGTGGTAAAGAAGTCCGTTACATAATCGATTTCTATTCCGGAAAACCTGATTCCAGGAACCCGCATTCAGTTAGTTTTTACATTGATGCGAGGCCAGCTTTAACAATAGAAGGTGTAGTTGATCGAATACGAATGATTCTTGCTTCATGGAATTAGAATAATTTTGGATTGATGGACATTGGCCTAGGCTGAAGTTGCAAGGGTGGATCGTGTGCGTAGAGACATTGCATCGTCGATGAGTATAATAATTGTTTACTCGTAAATCATTAAAGAATTAAGTATTTATATGTGTGATTGATTAACAGCGGCCCTTTTATTAAACCTTGGATTACGAAAAGTAAACAATTAGTCTAGATCAAAACCATTCATCCCATACGAAACTTTTCTCTTCCCATTCTCCCAATCAAACTTATAGGTATACCCTTGACATTACTGATTGTTCGATTATCAAATTGAATATATTTCTGTGTTCATGAGTACTGGTACAGTCATATTATAGTCGACCTCACTATCACACAAGACAAACCCCTGTAAAATCAGTGACTGTATGGGGGTGTGACTATATAGACTGCATGGTGACTAAAATTAAAAAGGAGAATATTAGCTGGATTTTTGATCTCAATATCTCAGCTGCCGCTCCTCGACAGACAATTTCAATATCAGTTTTATTAGTTATTATTCGGGTGCCTATGGTAATTGCGCAATATTCAATATTAATATGTGTTTCTGTGTGTAAATTACATGATCCATTGCATTAAATATTAAGCGAAAAGAATTCTCATTAAATTTGCCTTTATGAATATACTGAACTATATCCAAAGCAATTTAATCTTGCTATGGACCGCTCAACTGTTAGTATCAATAAAAATTTCTGTATCTTGAAGAGAGGAAGAACCAAAATTAGTGGTATTTCAAAAGCAAGGCTTATTTCTTTATGTATTCTGATAATATAAAAATCATATGTAAATCTTGTCTGCGAGCACACGTCCGGTTTTACCTGCAAAAAATAGAATTGTTCTATGGCATAATTGCATCATTATTTCCACAAAAGAAAACTAAATTTTTCCAACGCGTCTTTCTCAAAAACACATTTTTAAAGTTTAAAGGTGGCAGCACTTGTTTCGTTCGCCAATTAAGCTTAAGTGATGAATTACACCCATTCAACCATGAGTGCCCAGGAAAAGGTATTGCTTTACTTTTATTTGATTCGCTCTGCTCACTTTATGTTAGTATTAGGCCTTAAATAATTTCGCCAAATAATCCATCGAATGTAATTAATTAGTCGAGTTTAATAGTTTGAAAGCTATATTTCTCAACGTCCAGTCTTTCTAACACGTTCTTCAAGCTAAAATTAATCAAAATTATTTTTACAATGGGACGAGAAGCGCCACCCGTTTGTTGTCAGTGTATCAAACCTCGAAAATCCTACGACTTGATTGGTTCGTTATACACGTATTCAGCTTATCGAGATTTTTGTTTTATCAAATTTCGCAATAAGCCGAATTTATATATATATAAACTTTATTAATGATAAAATGCAAGAATACTCGTTTTCTGTAACATATTCTGTTGTTTAGTCTCAATCGTTCTATTTAACTTTTTTAGATTAGATAAGAAGGCAGTATCAACTTAAAGCTCACTATCACAATCTTGAGTAATATACAGAAACAAAACACACAATACAATAAATATCTCATGAGCCTACTCCGTGGAAGAAGGCAACAGGAGCCAAGAATTAATACAAAGAGATTGTTTTCAAGGCCAGTCAGCGTCTTTCGGTTTACTCTTTTCTTTACTGTTTTATTTCTTGAATCGTTTAAAAATGACATAACATTTGAAGAGCCACTTGTTGAATTTTCTCCACGATCGTTCATTCTGAAATATTAATCAGATAAAAGGGCTAATTGAAACTTTCCCCGTAAAAATATATACAAGCCACGTGCGCGAAATGGATGCGTGAAGATCGTTCGAGAATGGCCTATGAACCATCAAGCGATTGTTTATGACTAGTATTAGTATGTCTGATTTCGATCATGGGATTTAAGAATGATCCAATAAATATAATTTCACGTGATTATTTCGGTATATCGAGATAAAATTATTATAGTCGGTTAGCCAAAAATCTTCGGCTTATCGTTTAACGCGAATTACTAGTTAATTTCGGCTTAGACTATAATAAAATTTTTGGAAATTAAAAAAACTTCGGCTTAATGCAATTTCGGCTTAGCGTGACTTCGGCTTATCGAGTTTCACTTGTATAGTCACAATTGTATCGATATTACTATTATAAATAATATTAAGCTATACCCCGAACAGTTGCAAAGTTATTAAAAGTATGTAAGTATGCAAATTGTTAACCGAAACCCGTTTACGTGTGTTGTGTTAATCTATGAACGTACCACGCGCATTTACAGTGCAAGGCAGTTCGCACTAAACCTGCGCTACACGTTGTAAAAACCCAAATGTTGTTTTTTTGTGAAACTGTCAGAGCGACGTGGTGTAGTGTCGGGAACAGAGAAAATTTCGGATGACGAATGAAAGAACGTGAATGATAAATCTCGGTTTACTCCATTTAAAAGTGATCGGTTTGGAATTTCAGAAGCAAGATATTATGTTGATTGTCTCCAACAGTTAAACGTGGTGGAGTTTTTAATAGGATTTAGTATTATTTATGCAAGAACTTAGAGAGAAATAGAGAATTATGAATCAACAGATAGTGCTCAGTTATCAGCAAATTAACAAGCAAAATATCCTGTTTACGTAGAGTGGCATTAATTTATCGTTCATAACCAATCCTGTGATCAGTTTATTATCTTTGAATGCATTGTTTAGTGGTACATCTGCAGTACAAATTTTACATGTACTGCACATAATACATAATATGTAACAATTGCTTACCTGCGCGATGTAGCACAAAATAATTGTTATGTTCTCTGTCGAGATTGCATTTTGTTTATTCAAAGTATGTCGTTAGTTGTTAATGATACTCATAATCCAGTAATTGACAACTTTGTTCAATCCAATAAATATGAATTAGAATGGGTTCTTTGCTCGGAAATCACAGACATAACGTCAAGTCAAGTTGACAACATCTACTACGCTATTCGCAAGCAAACACGGAGTGACGGTAGAGTTTATGAAGACAAGATAATGATGCTTTTACTCGGAAATAATGAAACATGTACACCAACTCTTGTAAGTGAGTTTGCCAGAATACACTCACTTCCGACACACAAGTACAATAATGATGACAATAACTTCAGAAGATATTCCTACTGGCTTTACTATCGCAACGTACAGATAAAGGGATTTACCGAGCATGATAACAACTATTACATGGTAGCCGATAGACGCTTTTACCATTATTATTCTCTCTACGGGTTCTGCACTGCATGTGGAATACTCCGATGCAGTCCCGTGTGGTGCATCTGTGGACATAAACAATTATCCGATGGATGGGCTAGCAACAATAACCAACTCGATGAGTTTATCAAGAAATCTCAATTACAAACAAACTCAGCAAATCATGCCTATTTGGAATGGATTCCATACGATTGCATTTATAAGGTACCAACTCTAGCGTGTGATGTTGACTTGACTCCGCTTGAAATAACGGATGAGACGGATGATTCATATTATGACAAGGTAACCAGTAATTATGAATATATTGTGTTTATCCATTGTTTAGATAAATATTGACTTGTGTATAATTTCCACTAGTTATGTGATGAGTATCCAGATATTCTTGCCACGGATGTTTGGATTACTATCGGATTTACATATGATGCAAGTGAAAAGAAGTATTACCTAATAGAAGATTGTATAAGGCGTGAATTATGTCTGGCATGTACAGAACGATTGGCACATACTATAGATAAATTCTGTTTCAAATGTAAAGCACCAATACCTGTTGATTGGACTACTGGTAACGAGTCATTGGATTCATTTATAATGGATTCATGGAGTAATACTGAGCATTTATATGATGCCTATATACAATGGATAGAGTATGATTTATTGACAAATGTACAACAGATGACATCATTACACCATGGATGTACACTTATAGCAGACTGGTTAAAGCAGACAGCGGATGAACCGACAAAAGTGACACTCAAGCAGATAGTAATAGGTGATACTCAGTCGCTTGATTTTCATCAGGTAAATTATTTCACGTGTAATAGTAATAGTATTAAATATGCATTGCACTTTGATTTTTGTAATGATTGTATTATTATTCAATAGCTAACTCAGGAATACCCGACGATATTAACCCCTGAGAATATTTGGATAATTGGGATCACTCGGGAGCCATCTACCCGGAAATATTATTTAGTTTTCTACTACGACGTACATGCAATATTGAACAACTTTATGGCGACACGTCGTTACGGTGTGATGATGCAGTATGCCGACTTTGATGAAATTAAAGAGATTGGATCTGGTGGGTATGGAATAGTCCATACTGCCAAATACAAATATGAATACCATTCACTAGTTGTACTAAAACGTTTTAAGAGTTATGATCAGACGCCAGAATTATTTATTAACGAGGTAAGTGTTCTTGATATTATTATTAATTAAAGTGATATTTAATTTGACGCTGTATTTATTTTTATTTAATAGTTCAGAAATCATGCCAAGTGTTTGTGGTATGGTTTCCTTAATCTTTATGGAGTCACGCAAGACCCAGAAACAAAAGAGTACATGATTGTTATGCAATATGCTAACAATGGTAGTCTTTTGTCTTATTTGGATCAAAATATTAACAAATTGACGTGGAGGGATAAATTATGCTGTTTGGGGGATATTGCATATTATCTGTATAATATCCATCGCATGGGATTAGTGCATTGTGATCTTCATAGCGGAAACATAGTTTTGTATCATGATGACGATGCTGATGAAACAGGGTTCCAATCAAGTCGCCCACTGATATGCGATCTTGGCCTTTCTCAATCGGTGAATTCACGTCAACAAAATTCACTGAAGTAAATTAATATCGACTTAAAGACGTACTGTATTAAAACTTATTTGAATTTATGAGCATTGAGAAATTCGATGCCTCTGTTGAGTAATACCTCAACCAAAATTTGGAAAAAGTCGTTAATTTTGCAAGAGCTTGCGGATATCGCGATGGAAGTATTGTATTAAGC